AAAAAAAAAAATAAGAAGAAACAACCAGCTGTCTGTGCGATAACGTCAAATAAATATTTGAAGGAGAGAGGGGGAGGGGAGAGGAGGGGAAGGAAAAACTGAAATTTATTAGTTTGTTTTTTGTTTCCTATCTTCAAATTTGTTTTCATCAAAAGAAAAGAACCACTTTTATTGATAAATTAAATTATAAAAAACGTTAAAAAGAAAACAGTGGTTTTTTTTTAACGTTTTTTATAATTTAATTTATCAGTTAATAGCAATTACCAAATAGTAATACTAACTGACAGGTAAATCATTCTTTTCCAGTTCAGCTTCCCTATTCAACTTTTCTCTTTTTGGTATATGTATGAGCTTGCGGTTTTGACTACTGTCTGAGAGGTTACAACGTCCAAAATGATCAACAGATTTTGCATTTTGGATTTTGCAGCAATCAAACAGTTAATCAAACAGATCCAAAGCACATCGATAATGGATGATTCAAAATTCAAGTAATTGAGGTGGTATTAACCGGTTTGTTTACCTTTTATCCTTTTTTTTTTTTTATCAATAACACTATTGAAATATGATTGCTGTCTGCCTGCTTGCCTGCCTGCCGGTAATTCAGCTCATCGACTCATCCAGATGCCAACTGATTTCGACTTCTGAATTATTAATGGCTATTTTGACAAATATGCGTTAACGTCTACTAAAGTTTTAAAACACGTGACGGCAACGGTACCATCAAGCAGTTTTCCCACCATTTCTTTCTTAATTTTTGTCACCAAAGAATAAAAAAAAGACGAGGAAAAGTTAAGAAAATTTATCATTTTTAAACTTTTTTGGACAGAACTACCGTTACGTCGTTTTCTTTTTTTTTTTTTTCGCTTTATATTATAAATGATGTTGAATAATCTGCAAACATTACTGTCGTTTGTTTAGCGTACTATTAATATTGCTAAAGTAAGAATATTTAAAGTTATTTGAAGAGTATTCCGTCTTGTGAACTATTTAAAAAGGAATCATCCAGAACTATTGCATCCACTTCAAAACTGATCTCTGTTTTTCCTTTTTTCTTTTTTTTCCTCCATTTTACTTCCAAGCTTAAATATTGCTTTATTTTTATGATTTTTTCTTTACTCACCTGATATTTTTTAACTTTTTGTTTGCTTGATGACCCTGTTCTCTTTGTAATGTAATTACCAATTTGTTAAGCGGTAATTGAAATCTGTTGTTTAAACAAGTGTAAAACAAAAAAAAAAAAATCTTTTTTTCTATTTCTAAATTTGTCGGTTTATAGCTGAAAATTTTTCACACTATACACGAGAAAAGTTATGCAGTTTTATTGTTTGATATTAATAATATAATGATGCTTAATTCTATCTATCGGCTGGCTACGGTAGCAGAATCGTTGTAGCTTGATCTTTGTAGGATTTAGAGTACTGTTATTCATTGCTGCTACAAATAACCATAGTTTACCGGGTTTCAGACAGACGCCAAACGTGCTACACGCACAGTAGGTTAGTAAAAAGCAAAACTCTTTTTATTGTTTATTTTGTCGTTTTTTTTTCCTAGCAAAAATGTGAAATTTTTTTTCGTGATTGATTAATAAACTCTTGTGCCTTTTTTTTTTGATTTATTTCTGACTAACAGAATAATAGTTTATGAGAAGGTAGAGGAGAGGGAAAAAATTTTTGTTACTCATTGTAAGATTTAATTAACATTATTAATCTTTTTTTTTTTGCACTTGCATTTGCACAAAGCCAATTTAATTACTTTTTGATTATTACAAAAAATGGTTTTTGAGGAAAAAAAAAAACAAAATGTTAAATGATGGCCATTCGGTAAGCGAACATTCAACAGCCATTGGAACTGCCTGCTGCTGCGGCACAGTTTTGGAGCCGGCAACTTCATCCGATGATTTTCAACGTAATTTTTATGTTTAATTTTTATTTTTACATTCTGTTTTATTTTTGTGTTATTTTTCTTTTTTGATTCTGTTTCCACTTCTTTTTTGGGGTGGAAAGGAATTAGCATTATTTGTCGAAAGAAGAAACTTCAGACACCTTTTGAAATAAACATTTCTTGTTAGACATAGAAAAAATTTTGGAATTTTGTATAATGAATAGGCATTGAAAAGTATATTTGTATTCTTAAGCTTCCTTTTTTGCTTTTTTTTTGTGTGTGTTCAAAATATTGCTATTTTGAAAAGTACATTCTGCTAATAACTTAGTAAAAAAAAAGAAAAGAAAAAAGCTGTTATTTAGGTTACTTAGTTAAAAGTCACCCTGCTTTTTTTATTTCATCTGCCTTAACCAAATCTGTTTGTTTTCGCGTTTTTTTTTTTCTTCTCTTTCTTTTTTCTTTTTATAATAACTATCTTATCAGTTTTTTCTTTTATATTGCTATTTTGGCTTCCGGTTTTCAGATGTTGGCAACAGCAGTGAGGATGATGATGGTAGAGCAAAAAGGCGTTTATTAATTTTTGTTAATCCGAGAAGTGGTGCTGGACGAAGCAAAAATATATTCAACAAACAAGTGGCTCCGAAACTTGTTGCAAACGATATTGGATATGATCTGATACTTACAGGTAATTTGGTTTAATGTATTGCAATTGTAAATGACAAACATTGAAACTGTTATAAACATTCAACATTTTATTTCGTTTTTCTTTTTGTTTCGACTATTTATCGGTATAGATATAAAATTTGTTGCCATATTTACAACTTATTGCTTACACGTCTCTTTCTTGTTTTTTTTCTTTTTTTTTCAGAAAGTGAAAACCATGCAAAATCTTACATTTCTTCATTGGAAAATTTTCATCTTTACAATGCTCTAGTGGTTGTATCAGGAGACGGCCTTGTTTTTGAGGTCAGAAAGTATAGCTAATTATATTGCAAAAAACTGCTAAACAGTTAAAATACTGTCATGCGGTGTTGTTTATGCTTTATAGTTTACGAAAAATAAAACGTAGGTCAGAAAGTTTAAGTTATCTTTTTGCTGAAACATTTATTTTGAAGAATTATTTTTTTTAAACTTATTTTAGTTTTAACTTGATATATCATCCATAATTGTTTTAAAATTATGTTTCTTTTTGTAATTTTTTCTATTTTTCTCATATACAATTTATAAATGCTATAGTTTATTTTCTGTTGATAGATTGTCAACGCTTTATTGGCACGACCTGAAGTATGTGATATACCGATAGGCATTGTACCGACTGGATCAGGAAATGGTTTACTTTCATCAGTTTTTTATTATAGTAGGTAAAATTTATTCTTTTTGTCTATCTTAATTTGTTTACCATTTTATAAGTTAAAAAATAGAAAATTTAAAATTTATAACGCTGTATCTTACAAACAATTATTAAACATAACATCTTTGCGTGAAGTTCTACAGTACTGGAACCAACATAATTTATACCACTGATTTTCTAAAACTTTAAGCTTTTTCTGTAGTTTCACCAATATAACATTTTCAGATACTCATTGAAAAAAAACGAATTTTTAAATCGTGCAATCAATAATTTATGTGATCCTCAAGCGGTAGCTTACCCTGTAAATCTGATGCATGTAGAAACTCCGACTGAAAGTTATGCTGCAACAATCTCTGCTGGATTTGGACTTTTTGCTGATATTGGTATGCATATTATTTTAAAGCATAATTCTTTTGAAAATTCCGTTACAACGCTATTGATTGTTCACATAAAATCAAGAGTGGTGTTTGTTTTTTAGATATTGAAAGTGAGCGATGGCGTAAAACTTTGGCATCAGCTAGGTTTACGGCAGGAGCACTAGTTCGTTTTTTCAGTAAGTTTTTTTTTGAACTCATTAGCCAATCAGTATCGATTTGATAACGCTGTAAAAAAACCACTTAATTATTTTAGATTTAAGGACATATCATTGTCGGTTGTCATATTGCGGAGCTGAGGACAGTGAGGGATGCGATACCAATTTTATGCCAGAAATCTTCAACGTTGGCGTTTTCAGCGTTGTTTTAATATTTTTTGGTTTCTATAGCTTTATGGATTTTTGAGCATACCGCTTTTTGCTGCTTTTAAATTTGTTGTTATATTTTCTGTACGATTTAATTTTTAGATTTATTCAAAACAGCTCTCTCGGAGTAATGGTGCACCAAATTCCAAAGAATTTACACTTGTAAAGGATACAGAAAGAGGAACTTCTACCTTATCAGAAAATTTAAGACGGCATCATTTCCGGAAGGGAATTCCGAAAATTACTGAACCGATACCAGCAGATTGGACAGTTATAGAGGATGATTTCCTGTTTGTATATGCCGTACGTATTGATGAAGTTTTTTAGTGCTTTAAACATTTACTTACTGCTGAGAGATATTTAAACACCTTTTTTGTTATACAAATAAACTCTTTAAGTTTTCTAGAAAAAAATTCCTTCAGTCACAGATTTTCTTCCAGCTAACAGTTTCACATGCCGGACAAGATGTACCATACACACCAAATGCGCAACTATTTGACAGAAATATCTATCTAACGTATGCACTAAGAAAAGACCTCCATAAACGGCTAGACTTGTTGAAATTTCTCTCAGATATCAAGCATGCTAAACATCTCAATTATTCATTTTTGAGGGTAACTTTTTTGCTGGATGTTTTTCTGCGTTTTACGATCAGCTTGCTACAGTTTGAAGTGATGGTCTTTTCAGATTGTACCAGTAAAGTCCTTTAGAATTGAAAAGCTAGAAATCCCAAAAGCAGGTGGTTATGTAACCGTTGATGGCGAAGTAATTAACTGTGATATATTGCAAGCAACAAATACTTACAAGACTATTCCAGTTGTTACTGCTTAAGTTCTTTAAAAAAAGACTTGACAAATGACACACCAGTTTGTTTGCTCTAACTATTTCTGTAAAATTTTTGTTTTTCATTTACCTCTTCTTTGTTTTCACTTTCAATGAATCACGCAGTAAATGAAACTGATTTATTTGTTACTTATTACGCAATGTTAGCGAATAAAAACTGTTGTGTTTTGATAAGCTCAGGACTGTGCCGTACGCTGTGAAATTACGGTGGAATATCTTATATAAATTTCCCTTATTGCTCACATCTCATACCTACACCTAAGTTGAATGGTAAATCAGTTAAGTGTCTTGATACAAATGGCAAGTATCGGTAGTTAATTTTTATCGGCTACTTCTGGTGGACTTAATTGTAAGTTTACCAAAGTGGAAACATGTTGACGCGTTTTTCTTCAAAGTGCAAGAGCACGTACAGTGAGAGCTATCTAACCACTGTATTTAGATACCTTTTATATGATTGGATAGTGAGAATGACTAAACGGTGGCGGGACAAAAAAGTCAGAGGAGCCATGGGTACGCCGGATCTCAACTGATACGGCCCACAGCTCTGCGCGAACGCTTAATGGTCGACCGTTGATAGCATTATAAACCTGAAAAATGGAGGCCTAAAGTTCAAATATGAGCTACTTGTTAATTCGCAAATTCAAAAAAAGCCAGATTTCAGTTCTTATTTGCTGTTTTTTCACTCTAGCGAGAACATCTGTTTAGTAATAAAGAGTCGGACACGGTATCAAGTTATAAAAACCACCAACCTACAACTTATATGCACCGCCCTTTAATAAAACCAATAATGATATCTTCGGTCTTTGGCACTGCCGTCGAGACAATAACTACGGCAACTAACAAAGCATCTTACTACGCTTGCAAGTATTGAAATTTAACAAACGAAGTTTTCAGCCCCATCTTAGCTCAACAGTTATACTAAACAAACAGAGTATTAAAACTCTTCAGCATTGCTAACTATTTGAAAAACCTTAAAACATATACTAGCCCTAAGGCTTTGTTGTCTTCGTCTTGTTAATCTAGAACTGGTAATCTGCGCGCAACAAGGTCTTGCATTTCAAACTTTTAATTCCATGACGATCAGTGTTGTAGATTCGTTTCACTAGTTCTTTACCGTTCCTAACTCTGCAACTCCAATAAAAAACTACGCAAATAGATCCCATCTATGAATATTCTACCTGCTCGTCTTCATCGCTGGAAGTAATATTCATGTTGTCAATAATGTTCACTATACTTTCAATAGCGTCTTGAGCATTCCGACTTAAGTTTACAGCGGCCTGTCTCAGTCCTGCGACAGTTTCGTTCCTACGAGCTTCTAAACCTTGTACGTATTCTCGAACCAATCCCTAAATTAAGCCTAGTTTTTCCGAATATGCTTTCTTCAGAAAACTACATTGTTCCTATTTTTAGTGAATAGCCTGTTCACACGCTGACCTTCACATAAATTGAACAACGTTCGCTACCTGCGTTCTGTCGTCCTGGGCGTTGGACCAATTTTGCAGGGCATTTATGAAGTCTGCCTTAGTTAACGCATCGTTGTTGAAAATGTCGCAGAATTCTGAAGCTCCTCGAATACTAACAGTTCGTAGCATAGCTGGCCTTCGATTATATAATGGCCATCCGAAAAGCTGGTTACGAGGAAATTCTCTACAGTAACGACAAAGATCTGTTTCATCACGACTGTTAAATTGGCGATAACAGGAAACTGTTGAGATGATGTAGGAGAACCCAACAATTACAACGTAATTCATTGCACAAAATCTGAAATGGTGGATTAAATCACAAAAACATCGTTACTTTTTTTTTCATTATAGAATGTCGGACGGTTAAGCTTAATCACGTTTTTGCAAGACCGCCATTTTCATCTCAGTACTTTTCAGAACCTCGTCGTAGTTAAGGAAGTCTTTACAAATAAAAACTAAAAGAAACAAACGCAAGATGAAATTTGTAAAATAGAAAGGCAAAAAGAACCGCAAGCTAGAGCCATAGGTAAACTTTTGGAGACCACGCACATGGTTCAGCGTAATGCCAGTTTCATAAATAGATGACTAAATGCCTATTAACGACCCTGCTGAAAACTCAGGAGTACTTGAAGAAGAAGAGAGAAATCGGAGCATAACGACCGCAGTCGGTAAAACAGTCTCACTTGACGTTTTTTTTATCGTACAAATGGAGTTCTTTTTCTTTGCCACCGTATTTATAACGGTATACCGTTATAAATACGGTGGCAAAGAAAAAGAACTCCATTTGTACGATAAAAAAAGTACATGAGTAGTTTTCACAAAAAATCCGATAATAAGCCTGACAGCAAAATGTTTCACAAACAATAACCTGTGCACTTACCAAAAAAGAAAGATTAAAATTAACAATCTGTACTCAACGTTCACAAATTGATGTAAAATATTACATGAATCACCAGAAACCTACATAATCCATGCAAACAAAAGCAATTTTTTGTCCGCCACTAATTAAGTGTTACAGATGCTAGTACGGACCACTCAGTAACTGAACTGCTAAAAATTCAGCACACCAGAAACGTTACACTTGATTTTTGCGAGGAAGTATTTTGAAAAAGTACAGACCGACATTGGAAAGGCCTTTGGAACTAGTGGTTTTTAAACATCAAGCCCTCAATGCGTTAAAACACACGAATTATTGCACACTGTAGATTTTATGAGACTTGACGCATAGTAGGCTAATACAGAAAACCCGTCTCTTAAATCGCACCTTTCTTGACCCCAGCGACGACCGCATAACGAACTTGAACTCAAACACTCTGCACTAATACACGAACGATGCTAGCTGAATATATCTAAAGAGCAATACACCCCAATTTCTCTGGCTTAAACAACGTAAAAACAGTGCCTCCTAGCCGACTAAAGCTGTGCCTGCACAACTCCAAAAAATGATCTGCACTTTACATCCTCCATGTATATCGTTGTGCATGTATCGGACAACCTTCATCTTAAGGCCAGAAAGTACAACTAGTTCCTCAATAGACAATGTTAAGCAATCGTTAATGCTGAGACGCAACATACCCCCTTTTACTTCTAAGTTGAAACTGACTGGAAACTAATTCATTCCCACAAGCTTTTCTCCACAATAATTAGGACTCGATCATTAACCCTCACAAACACGTTCACATAACTCACAGTTCACTCAATTTTGAGTGATGGTTTGTAGTGTTGCGGAACAATCGAATCGAATACAAATCGAGTTTATTGCAAACTTCTTTCTTAACTCCAAACACACAGTGACAATGAAAAATATTTGGTCTCGACAAAAAGCAGAACATTCGAACCTCACAATAACGAAACCCATTGAATAACTTCCCAGTCGCTACCATAACTCAAAACGCACACATGACACGGTAGCCGAAGAATAGAACGTTGAAAATACTGCACGTAAAAGATCCCTGAATCTCAGTAGACAAATCCCACAACTCCGCTTGAACACTCAACCGTTCATCGCCCACCAACAGACTGATCTGCAAAATTAGAAGTGTGAAACATAAACTACCTAATAACAATCAAATGAAAGCAACCATAAAACTACACTTTTCCCTCGTGAATATTAGAGGGCACTTTTGTAGCAACGGAACACTACCGCGACAAGTAGTGCCGACAGCTCCCAACACTAGAAACAATCAGCCAAGGCAATAGAAAAAGAGAACCAACCTACAC